ATGCACTGTTGAACTCTCTCTCTTACAAAAGAGAGATATTTATATCATCACTCTTGTCACAGACTTCTCATGATAGTATATTATCTCTCTGTGATCTGATATATTATACTCTGAATTTGCATCTTATCTCTATCTGTAATATCTAAGATAATATCTTTGATACACTGACGGAACTGTCTTCTCTTAAGAGAGATATCACAGAGACTGATTCATTATTACTGAGTATAATTAACTTAGATAACAGCTTAAAAGTTTTCTTCAGACTTCTGAATCTTCAGAATAATATTCTCATTAACTCAGCAATTCTTATCAATAATATAATCTGAAATATTAGTAATTTTCATCAGTCTGTTCAGTAAGATGATGATCTTGTAAGCTTAATGACTACTTATTCATATTCTGAAAATCTTCTATCTATGTTCTGTGACACTCTTAATTATTATTAAGAATTCAGAGAGAGACTTAATAGCTGAAATAGAAATTCTTAAATAAATGATAATACTCATGTTCTGAATTATTAGCAGATTCACTCTATCTGTTATAGTATTAATGTTGATATATCTTGCTTCTACAGCATAAGTGATAACTTTCTCAGCAATGAATAGATCAGAAGATGTAAACAAGAGTTATAGCAGTTAGAAGAACTGACTGTAAAGCAGTTTCACATTGTCTCTATATTATCTATAAAAGATCTTTTCATAGTTCTTTACTTTCATTTTCTATCACTGCAGCTTAATAAGTGTCTGCAGTTTCTTTCTTAATTATTTAAAGATGCTTTGATGAGTTGTATACCTGACTCAGTATTAGTAATGTAAGAAGATGAGAGTATGCAGTCAGCTAGTCACTCTGCTTCTCATAAGATCAGAGAAACTCAGTGTGAGTATGATGAGAAGAGAAAGAATCACAGAGATAAGCTGTGACAATGACTTTCTGAGAAGAATACACAGCTTCTGAGCATGATAAAGAAGTGCCAACTCTGGCTGAAGATAAAGAGATGTTTTTCAGTAAGAATGAAATTAGCACTGTGTCAGTGAGTATCTATGCTTTGAAAATAAGAGAGAGAAATGTGTACAGCTGAACCGGCTGATATCATAGTAGCATCTATAGTTCTGAAGAGTGAGACATAATGCTTATTCATATATATGAAAGTGATATCATGATTAATTATAAAAGACAGTCTGTCTCTTCAAGCTGTTTATTAACAGTTCTTGATAGACAGATGAGAGTGATCTTGCCTGACTACATTCTTATCTTTCTTCTCAGAGGTCAACTGTATGCAGTCACAGCTGAATGATACTCATTCTCTTATTCTTCTTTCTCTCTCACAGTGATTTGTATGTAACAGCTGTGAAATGAATGCTGTTGCTGCATGAGTTCTATTTTCAGACTTTGTTCTCAGATATTATTGACTGCTGCACTGTACTTCAATGTCTGAAGAGAGCAATCTGAGATAAGTATTGTAATGTGGCGGAACCGAAGCGGTGGCTAGTCAGCGGTGTCACGTAGAGGTAGTTGTTTGAGAAGCTGTATAAGTGAGCTTGATTATCTTGCTTGAATAGCGAGCTTGTAGGCTACAGAGTTATTGCAAGGATATCACAGATATGATACTTAGTATACTAAGAAGATTGTATGAGACACACAGTAACTCTTGTATATATTTCAGTAGAAGAAAAATGAATTACTGACTTCTTTAATAAGAAGCCAGCATCTAGCTATTCTATATAGACAATGAGTGAATACTCTTCTCTCATTTCATAAGTGAGAATAGCTGAAGTGATATCTTAGCAGTATCTTATTATCAAGGAAGAGTAATCTGCTGATCTTGTATAGAAGTGAAATTCTCATATTTATCAATTGAATCTTTCTATGATATATCTGAATAATGTTATAAAGTGATTGAAAACTGATTTAAACAGTCTGTGAGATGAATGAAATCATTTATATGAAAGTAATAAGCTGTATGAAACTGTAGTGAGGTCTTGATACAATCAGAGATATGATAATACTCTCTTCTTTAAGAACATAGTTCTGATGCTCTTAAGATTATCAGATTAGAAATTATCTTTGTTATATAGTAATGATTGTAAAACTGATTAACAGTGTGTATACTGTGTATAATACAAAGAAATAGATGAGTTTTTCTGCTAACTGTATAGATCTTTCTTTTCTCATCTTTATTCAAATCAAACACATGATAAGTGAGTTTCTTATATATCAATTTGAAATATAAAAAATGTAGTTAATAAGTGACTTATAGATCTCTCAATATATTCTGTTCTATATATAAAATTCTCTGCAAAAGTGATGTATTTTTAGAGACAAAGCTAACAGTAGTGATAGAATTTTTTGAAAAGATTCTTCTTCTCTGTGAAACATTTTTCTTTCCTTCTTCTTAATTGTAATAGTGAGTGTATGAGAGTATCATTCTTGAAGAATAATAAAGAACTTATTCTGATATTTTCTAGTGAGTAAATGTCTTTGTGATGTGACTGCAGTCTCTGTAACTGTTAAGAAAGCTCAGTTGAAGATGAAGACAGTAGTGTCAACAGACTGTGAGAGCACTGCTCTTATTATCACATCTTCTTCTTCTTCTTCTTCTACTTCTCTTGCAGCTGTGATAATAGTTGCTGTATCTTGCAGTGAAGTGTCATCTCTTCTACTAATTAATTTATCTGTGTCTAGTTCTTTCTCTGCTCTCTTCATCACTATTACAACATTGTCCCTCTTCTCAGTCAACATAATGATGTATGACCTCATATAATCATTTGAAGAGAAACCTGAAGAGAGCTTGATTCTGAGAATAGTGACTCTGAGAAGCTTAATCTGTAGTTTCTCTTTCACAGCATATCTGAGCTCTACTCAGAATGCTGCTGAGTTGAGTCTGCAGAGTTCTGCAGTTTCTTTGTCTTCTCTCTGTGAGAAGGCTCTGATGCAGTTTCTGATCAGTATTACTACTTATCTATGCTGTGCTAAGCAGCTGAAGAAGAGAGAGATTTTATACATCTGTCTCTTCTCTCACTTCTGTTATTTTTATTATATCTGTAACAATGACTTCTATCTCTCTGTAAGTAGTATCTCACAGAAAGATGTTATATCAGCTCTGATAAGAAGTCTAGATACTCAAGCAGTATAGAGTGAGAGTTTCAGAGCTTTAAGTATTAATGAATTCTATTAAGACTGAGAAGATTTCTCTTACTCATCTGTAAAAGAAGATGAAAGTGTGAATCTCTGAGATGAAAAAACATCTCAGAATGACTGATCTTAAGAAGAGATTAACTGATATCATCATTAAAAGCACTGTGAAGATTAATCACTGATTGAAGAGAATCTCACTTCAGTTAAAGCAGATAACTGAGATACTTTATAAGTTAATAAGTTAATACTTTCAGTATCTCTCATGCTCTTCTGCAGCATGCTTCTCTGCAGTACTGCAGTGCTAACTTCTTAGCAGACAAAGATATCAGTGCTGAAGACTTCAACAGTGAAGAATGAGTTTAGTGAGAATGTAATTATTGATGAGTAGACTCTGAAATTCTCTCTTTTTACTTTTTTAATGAGCTGCAGTCTCATTAGAATAGCAGCAGCCTGCAGATTGATAATATCAATCTTTTTTATTAATTTCAAATATTTCTTTCTTTTCTTATTAACTGCTTCAGGAATTTTACACTTATGTAGTCTTATTATTATTATTATTATTATTCTTCAATTATAGATGTATGCAGTCAGAGACTATGACATCTATCTGAGAACTTTTAGTTCTCAGGGTTTTTCCTATATCTGTAAAGTTAACTATTATACATTCATCAATTTCAGATATGTAAAATCAGAAAATTCCAGCCCAGAATACAAAAACTGTTTACAAATTACAGTGTTTTAACATCTTCTGATACTTTGAAATCATTTGACAATATCATGACAAAGGAAAAGAGAACACAGTCTTAAAGATAGACATATTAAATAGATAGATAGAAAGAAATTGAAAGGAAAAGATAAAGTAAAGAAAGACTGTAACAAAACAAATTATTAAAAGATAGTATATAGCTGTTTTAACAGACTATATCTGATTGATTTCCTCCTCTTCATATTCAGATAATTCTGAATTTAGTCATTTTCTTGTAGCTGCTTGAGTTTCTGATAGAAAGTCTATTAAATATTTAATTCCTGTCTCAGTTGAGAATAAGAATCTCATATTTAATTGATTTAGATCATACTTCTCTTTCAATCTGACTCTGAAACTATTGTATAATACACAGTGTATTACAATATACTCAGGATTCTCATTTGCATTGCAGAATAAGCATTCTATTGAGTCAAATCTATCATTAAATCTTTATATATAAGATTTGAAATAGTCATGTTCTAGTTTCAGCTGTATTATAGATGAGAATATTTTCTTTTTACATTTAATTAAACAAGATTTTCACTTGGGTTTTGTTTCAAATCTTGAATAATATATACTTTTCTTTTGTTTCTGCCAGCTTTCATTTCACTTGTCTAAATAAGATTCTTTTATTTTTCTCTTTATAAAAGATCAGGATATAACTTTTTGAATAGATCTGCTTAATTCTGCACTCTTTTTTGCAGCTGAATCAGTCAATTCATTATCATGAATATTCATATAAGCAGGAATTCAGTGTAAATGAATTATCAGCTTTGATATTCTTCTCTTTTGAATTTTCAAAACAGAGTTTAAAATCAGTTCAAGATTCATTTAATCATTATGAATCTGACTATTTCTAAGTCTTTTTAAAGCAGCTTGACTATCAGAGAATATTCATATCTCTTTCAAACTATTTCCTCTTTTATGAGATTTTATTTCTATGAGTTTGAAAGCTTTCACTATTGCAAATAGTTCAGCATCAAAGACTTCAGATTCACAGTCTAGATTTCAGAAATCTGAGATAAAATTAATATTATCTTCAGTATAAGCAATGCCTGCATCTAATCTATTCAGATTTTCATTCTTTAAGTCATCTGAATAAATCAGAATAGAGTCTTTTATATTGATTATAGAAATTCTCTTCAAATGCTGTTCATATTCTTTCTCTTTTGATAGTTCATTTATTTGTAAGTCTATAAGAGATTCAAGCTTTTCTCTTCAGAGAGATAACTTTTCATGATTCACTTTTTCAATATTTAAAGAAGAAAATTGATTTTTAATCAGAGAGTATAGTCTGTAAAGTTGAGAAGACATTTTCTTTAAAGAATTATTTTCATTCTAATCAAGAAATCTATTTCAATCCAGTTCATTTTCAGAGTTAATTGATAAAAATGAAGATGAGACTCTTTCTCTGATTATATGATTTAAGCTCATCTTTATAACTCTCAGAGCATAGTTCATACAGGCCTTTTCAAATCTCATAGTAGAAGAAGAAATTAAAGCTTCAATTTTCATTGTTTTAATAGAAGATGATTTGAATGCTCTCAGAATTCTTCTCAAGACTCTGTTTTACAGACTTTGAAAGAGTTCAGTGAAATTCCCTTGATTATTCTATCAAACTTGAACTTTATAATCAGCTACTGATGTAATACAGGCTATATATAACTGTCTCATAGCCTGGAAGAATAGACCTCTCTCTGTATTTGATAGTCTGATTATGTTATTCAATAGCCTTTCTGCCTTGACAGTTCTTTGTTGAATATGATATTTAAAGTTTAACTTGGAGTTTAATCATACTTCTAATTATTTGATATTTACACTGGGTTTAATCTCTCTATTTAAAAGAGATAGAGACAGTTCTTTCTCATTGAATCTAGAAAAGAAATGAATTAACTCAGTTTTATTCATATTAAATTGAATTTGATTAATATCTGCTCTAACAAAGATTTTCTTTACAGCTTCTTTAATCACTTTTAAATTCTCTTTGATAGTTTTTGAGCTGTAGACTAGATTAATATCATTCACATAACTCAGAGATCTCACTATTCTCATATTTCTATTCTTGAATAGATATGCAGTGTATATTACAAATAAAATGAGTGAGATTGAAGATTCTTATGATACTTCTATTTTTATCTCAGTCTTGTCTTATTTCATTTCATCAAAGAAAAGTTGTATAATTCTTTTAGATATAAAATAGTTAACTCATTTTATTAGAGAAAGTAGCAGTTTTAACATCTTCAATATCTGAATTAGCTTTGACTTTGAAACATGATCAAATGCTTCTTTTATATCAATAAAAACTACAGTTGAGACCAGATCTTCATGCTTTGCTATTTGAATATTATAAATAACTGAGAGAACAGTATCAATTGCAGAACACTGTTTTCTATTCCTCATTTATTCACTGAATAAAAGAGAATTACTGACAGAGCTTATAAAAGATAGTTGAGTAACTATTATCTTTTCTAAAACCTTTTCTAGATAGTTCAATAGAGATATTACTCTATATGACTTAGAAATTGAAGTTTTTCTATTAGAATTTGTAAGAATCACTTCAGTGACTTCTCTTCAGTATTCAGAATGATATTCATTTTTCAAGAGATTGAAAAAGAGCTTAAAATATTCATTCTTTAAGTAGAAGTATATATTTTGAATAATTAAGTAATTAATTGAATCAGGCCCTGCAGCAGTCTTAACTGAACTTGAGAAAATAACTGACTCTAATTCATCTTGAGTAAGATCAGGTCATTCCCAGTCATTTTCATCAATATAGTTAAGAAGTGATATATTCTCTTTCTCTGAATCTGAATCTGATGAGTATTGAAAGAGAGTTCTTATAAAAGCTTGACATTTTTTCTCAAAAGAGTTTGCTGTATATGATTCATTCTGAAACTCATATTCTAAGGTTGAAAGTGTTACTACACTTCTTGTTTTAGTATAGTTAAAAGCTTTAAAAACTTCCTTCTCTTATGCTTCTTCAAGAAATTTATTTCAGCAGTCTGTTTTAGCTTTTTTAATATCTGAAAAATATTCATTTCTGACAGCATTGAACTCTTTATCAGATATTATATTATTCTTTCAATCTCTTCTAGCAGTAGCTAATTCTTTTCTTTTAGATGAGATATTCTCATTTCATCAAGGTTTTGAATACTTAGAAGATTTTCTCTTTGAAATATTATCTCTAACACTTGTTAGAATAATAGATGTAATAAGCCTCACTCTATTCTCAAGCATTTCATTTGAGATATCTTGACCAGAATTTCAATATAGCTCATTCTATCTTTCAGATTTTAACAGTTTTATACTTTCTTTAACTGCTTTTCAATCAGCTTTTTCAAAGTTAAACTGATTAGAGAGAATAGGATTTTCACTTATTTATTTTTCACTCAGTTTAATCTTAAATTGAATAATCTCATGATCTGATTCTGATGTCTTATTTAAATTAATAAATCAGTTTACAAGTCTTCTTTTTATTAGATTTTGTGATATAAAGATTAGATCTATAATAGATTTCTGTTTCATATCTTTTCTAAAGAATGTTTATTGATCAGACTTATTAATCAAATCTATTGAATGCTCAAAGGTTTATTTAACTAGATTATCAGCTCTCACTACTCTCTTATATTCTGAATTTCATCAGAGATAATGTGTATTGAAATCTTCTACAATTATAGAGTTTCTTGATAAAGTTATGTTCAGAAATCCTCTATTAATTATTCAGATATTGTTATTTTTCTTCAATGACTTTTCATTATAGATATTTATGAGCTGTATAGTATTAAACTCATTTTCTTTATCTATAATATTACTCATCAGAATATCAGGGTCAGACATAATATCAAATCTTAGATTAAATTGATATCTTGATCTCTTTCTTTCATAAATCACTACTCTTGACTTTATCTCAGACTTTTGAGATAAAAAGCAGTAGTAGCTTGAATGAGAAATGACATATTTTTACTCAGCATCAAAATTCGGCTTCTGAAGCAGTATAAAATTAACTTTTTATTCAAATGTAATTTGAAGATAAGAATAAATATAATTTGAGTTTCTATTCACATTATTTTGAATAAATATGATTTTTGAAGAGTTTTTAAACTTTTTTTATTATTTTTATTGTATATTCATACTAAAAGAGAGAAGAGTAGAATCTAATCACTATTATCAGATAGTAGATTATA